TGAGTTCCATCTCGGTCGATAAAGAAAGCGCCGTCTTCAGCAGGTTTCATGTCAAATTTCCCTGAGAACATGACGCCCAGCATTGAGTTTGGATCTTTGGTCAGTGTTTGACGAGTTGTGGTGAAGTAATGACCACCGACATTTATTCTAACCCTTCCTTCTGTCTTTGACGCCACCAAATTTAATTCGTCTAATAACTCCTTGATCTGGTAAAATTTAGCTTCCTCCAGCAGTTGGCTGAGGGCTGTTGCTCCTTCTGGTAGGACACTTTTCCCAGTGCGAAGATAATTAAGTATAAACCGGAAGTGAGTTCCATCTCGGTCGATAAAGAAAGCGCCGTCTTCGCATTCTATAAACTTAGACCTGGATGAAAAGATGGCGGCCAACTCGGACTCCGGATCCTTTGTTAGTGTTTGACGACTTGTTGTGAAGTAATGACCGCCAATATTAAGTTTTATTGTCGAAAATATGTGATTTACGTTTTCCTCATTTGGTACTCCATGTTTCCTGCTAACGCTATCCTGCATTTTATAGTGTAAAGCGAGTCTCCCGGCTGCAGTTCTCAGGTCAATTAAAATTTAGCCTCAGATGATGAAAACAGACTTTGAGCAAGTTTTTCAAGGAATAAGTCTGACGACAAGACAAACGCAAGCGGCTGCACCAGTGAGCCATGACACAAAGTAAACACGTCTAAACAGGAAAACCTAATCGATTTTTTGCATTTTTATCATTGTTAAGTAAACTCATAAGTTATCTGTGCGATTTGGAATAAATTAGCCCTCGTAAATTTTTAAAAGATTACAAATTGCACTCACCCTACGGGCTCTTGCAATTTGGTTAGCCTTTCCAAAATTTACTCGCGCTTATTCATCTCATATGGCACTAAAAATCATGCACGCCACTTAGTTCAATTACAGTTATTTGGCTGATAACGGAAGTGTATTCATACCGTTACAAGCGACGATGATCCACGGATCTTAACTGATCTAGGATAGACTCGAAATTCACGGACGGATTTGCATTCTAAAAGGAAGCAACTGCTTGTTAACCATCTCTACCATTTTGGTAATTTTATTAGACCTAGCTTCTACTGCCACCTCTTGATTACTTGATTAAGAAATATATTATTTGGTTCCATCAATTGTCCAGTACGGAGATACGATAGAGTCACCTGGAATTTCCCAGTGCGAAGTTTAAACCGGAAGTGAGTTCCATCTCGGTCGATGAAGAAGGCGCCGTCTTCGCAAGGTTTTATCGCAGACTTTGACAACAAAATGGCGGTCAACCTTGAGCCTTGATCTTGGATTTGGTCAGCGTTTGAAGACTTGATGTGAAGAAATGACCGCCAACATTGAGTTTTACAACGGAGGGAATGCTCTGAACTTGTTGCATTTTGAGAACTTTCACCTCTTGCTTCTCATTCGTAATCGCAACAAGAGCAGGTTTGGTAATTTCAACACTGCTTTTCGTTCACAAAGTTGTCCTCTCTTTTGACCACGTGCTAGAGGACTACAGGAAGTAAAAACAAGGGGCTCTGGGAACTGGGAACAAGAATAGGTAATTAATTAAGGAGCCGGAAGTTGAAAGGGAATGTCTGAAGTCTAGAGGTCGAGTTTCATGTACTGAAAAATCTTGAAGGATATTTTTTCAAATTGTGACGCGGAGCCTAGCTCTCCTTACTGGATTATCTCCCCCATTACTTTTCTTTAGTATAAATGTACTTCTTCAAAAAATTAATGGCGAGTCACAACGCGTCTTTATTCTTGATTTCGGATGTCACAATGATCAAGGCTCTACCTAGTTCACGTAGTCGCTTTGGAATGAACTTCTGTCTGCTAACAAAACCCCCAAACAAGGCTGTGTCTGCCCAGGAGGGCGGGAGCAGTTGATTTGGTCAACTTAATGCTGGGTAATGAATCCTCCTTCAGGAAAGATGGGGCAGGAACGGAGGATTTAATAACAACCCTAATGACCTGTACTAAAATCGCGTGCAGAAACTCCGTTAAAATTGAGGTGTTCCCCCCCAGCCACAATCTATGTTGCGTTAAATGCTTCACACCAATAACGCCCGTTCTTGGTAGTAACTATACACAATTTATTTCATCGTTTTAGAATAGTTCAAGTTAGGTTAACAGTTACAGTCAGGTTTCACTTGGAGTAAGTGCGAACTTCAAGAATTTAAATCACTTCGATAGGGTGCCGAAGATGACTGAATGCGACCGACTTTCCACGAAAAAGACGGCTCGAAACCCAGCTGAGGAACCTAAGCTTTTCTTGGAAATATAATAAATGTAATTCGTCAATTTAGGCTGACTTCGATTCGACATTCACCCTACGCCAGAATAGAGGAAAGACCAAGAAAGAACTGTTCTTTAACCATTTACACCCTAAAATCGGTATGCACATTCTCCGTACTGTTCTCTGTACATTTCCGAGGAGAATTTGTTTAACAATCAAGGGCTTAAGCTGACGATCATTTCCTTGATTCTCATCACTTAGGTCTGATTCAGCACTGACACAGTAAGGAGAAATTAGATACCAGTCATTCTTAGGAGTTTAAGGGTTAATGCGAAACGAAAAAGTTGACCTTTGAAGGCTTTTATCTCTCTCGCCAGGAAGGCGTTCGAGTCTCTTACAGTTTACTGCAAGACCAAATAAATAATTACATAGACAATATAACACTAATAGACAAAGTACTTTAAAATAAAAATCTGATCCAATACATAGGGTCTCTCAATATAAAACGAATATACGCTTATAATAACTATAATACAATACTGCAAAACACTTTACCTAAGGACTTTCCCAGGCGGCCTTGAATCATATATTCTTCATTCTCTCTAACACATACTACCTCTAAACCTGAAAACAAAATCTACAGGAATTTCCCTAGGAGGGGATGTATCAGTCGGCTCACCCCACCCCCTACCTCTCCAGCTCTAACTAATTGCTACACTCAGCAGCTACTACTTATCGTCTAAGGAATGCATTGGTCCACAAAATGAAACAGAATGCTTAAGTCAAGTGAAATGAATTTCTACACCGTAAACTCTCTCCTCCGTTGAGGTATATTCAAGCGAAGACTACTATACATTTGCGAATGTGTATATGACATCCGCTGTCAAAGAGAAGGGAGTATCAGATTTTTTTTTTCCTAATTAAAAAGAATTAATTTACCGTCTTCGTACAAATTGCACAATAGAGACGTAAGGGAATTAGGTCAATTGAACAGTTTTACTTGTTGACCTCATAAACTTCAGATAGTCCAGACTCCGGTCAAAATAGCACGTGTTTTACAGACGAAATCTCGATAATTTCTTGAATCTAAAGCCATGCAAAGCCTGTGGTGACATCACATACCATGTGACTCACACATGTCGCCATCTTTAACCATTCCCAACGCGAGCTTCAAGTTTGCATCTGATCAACATCTTAGTCATCGTCGATAACAATAGGTTCCACTGCTTCGCTTTCTGGCGGGGGTGGCATGGCGTAAATAAGGGCGCGAAGGTGCACGCTACATTTCACTTCCTTCCACGGTCTTCGCGCAACTTTTTTTTGGGAGTCCGCTGGTAAGACTCTGCGTGCTTTCCTAGCGGAAAACAACATATCAAGACTCAGAGAATCATTCACAAAACCTCTAAATGCGCTTTTGAGTCTAGACTACAAGAAGTCCCTCCTTTTCGCCGGATCCGTCGCACGAGTCAAAAAAATTTAGTGGAAAATGAAAAAATTGATTTTAGCGCGCCGTGTGCCTAACCCCCAATGTTCTGCACGGTGCGCAAACATAATTTTAAATGGACTCGCGCGGCGAATTCGCCGAAAAAAAAAAGCGACTGCTAGAAGTGTATTTTGAGAAAACCAAGGAAAGGACAAATTCAACATTAACATACTTGGAGACCAGCGAAGTCGAACATCAATACAATGAAGAAGACACGTGATAAGAATTCTACAATGAGCCTCTTACCGATAGGTTCTTATCATTTTAGATTACCAATTTTAGATTAACAATTTAGATTACCTTGAGCGTTTGTTTGAGCGGAACTGGAATTCCTCTGGTGGATCAATGAACTGCGGATTCAGGTGGTGACCTTTGGAGCTTACAGACTTGATCACCGGACTTGGCTTGCTATTTTCCACCGGCTTGGCATTCTCACCGACTACTACCCTGTTAGGAACTGGTGTGGCTACTGAATTCACTATGACACCTCCCTCAGGATTTCCCTTAACAGGAGCTGTAGGCTTTGGGAGGAGGTACGGCTTGTTTGCTGCCCCTGAGGGGGAGTAGTTGGGCAAATTGTTCATGCCACGCTCTAAATGAAGCTGTCCATTGATGTATGACGTCACTGAATGCTGCGCATATGGCACAATCTTAGTAGATCCGGGACCCAAGGCCGGGCTGACGTCACAATATGCGGGGTACGACCGCTGTTTAGGCGGCTCTGCAGACGCGTGCATCGTTTGTTCATGGTGTGTTAAGCTCGCTGTCAATAATAATGAAAACACTCCTTTAGGATTTGACTTAAACAAACTGGTCACTAGAACCGAACTCACACATTTTCCTTACATCCTCCCTTCCGATACTATCTAATTTATTTTCCCCTTCTATCGGCCAAGACAATTTTAAGCTTCCTTGTGATGACTATTCATTTTCTTTGATCATTAATTCAAATTTATCATCAAATTTAAAAGATCCGACTCCACACCGTTTTCATTTCCTTTAATTTTCTTTTTACGAAGAAAACAATCAGCCAAAAATCCACCAATTTGATCACAATCAAGACCGAAACTCCCGGAAGTAAGAGAAATTGACCCAACAAGGAATCGTCCAACATCATCTTCTCTGACAAACTCACACTTTCTTCAGCCGATGCCTTACGCTCCACAAAGACTGGTACGGCAAAGCAGCCTGTAACATGAGTTACTGCTTACCTTGATTATGAAGGATCTTTCCACAGTAGGTGCACTCACAGCCTTTCTTCCCCAATGGTGACGTTGCACTGAGCCGTTTAGCCGAAGGACCTGCAGACGGGAACAAACAGTACTTTATAGCGCTTCTTACAATAAAATTTTGCGAAGAATTAGAGAACTCTTGATTCAACACCAGAACCAAAGTAAAAGAAAGAATTTAAAGGCGCAGGTGACTTCTAAACATAACGAGGCCAGAGTAAAAGCCGATAACAAATTCGTGATTGATTCGAGTTTTGCATCTGATTTATTACGAGGCTGGGGTGATTTTTCCACAAGAACACTGACAAGGCGTAGTTCTGTGAAGCCAACAAATACACTGGTAACAGAAAGTGGCTGGAAATTCTGAGCTGCTAAGCTGAGCGTTATTCTATAGAGCATCACGCACAAGAAAACACGAGTGATCAAGTAGCGACTGGTTTTAGTCTTGCAACTGATTGCTTTGGAGAGTAGCACAAGTTTTTCTCGATCAATTATGGGGCGATGCTGGGTAGAACCATTGTTCTGTCAGTAGGACTTCAAACCACAAATCGTCTTACCGTCAATACCATTCTGTTGCACGGAGCCACTTTCGTGAGACCGCTTCCTGGCCATCATATGGTTCGTCGTCTGCTGGGAAGTTTGCTGACTTTGTACAACAGGTTTAGCTGAGGGGATGGCTGCGTATTTCCAGTCGCTGGCCTTGGGTGGGGTCGGCTGTATGGGTACATAGCTCTTCGACGGGGGAATCATTTTTCTTGAAGGGGAGGTAATTGAGTGACCAGTAGGAGTGGGAGGGGATGGTGAGGTTGGTGAGTGTTCCTTAGGGAGGGGTAGTAAGGTTGGTTTGGACGGTTTAGGAGGTTTGTGTGGTTTTGGCGGGTTTGCTTTAATCTTGTCCACGACATCGTGAAGTTTTCGCTCCACCCTCCGTTTCTTCGCTTTAATTATGGCCTCAGCTTTAGGCGTCTCTAGCCTCTTTAAACCTGATGGAAAAAAATTCACAGACATTTAAATCACAAAATAGTGATACTGGACTATTCCATTGTATTGGCTGGGAATAACTACTAAAACAATAAAGTTTATTTGCTATCAGTTGCAACGGTAGAAAGTCAGTTTTCTACTGATTTCCAACGTGTTTACTCTTTCAAGGTCTTCAAAATAGGACTCCAAATTTGAATACATTTTAAAGAATCCATGAGTCTGAACTGACTCTGTTACCACCTTCCTACAAAACTGACACAAGTTCGTGAACGAGCACTGATAAGATTTAATATTTGGGAGTAAACTTTTCATGCAAGAGTCCAAAAGTCATGACATCTCTAGGAAATTATGAGAAGACTGACCGGTGGGAAACTTACACTGTGCTCTGATTTCTTGGATATTCAGAGCTTCTCCGACCACTCGACAATGATGCACTTTATTATACAGATCTTGGCACAGCCGCCGAGCCAGTTTGGTCAGCGGTAAGGCCCTAATGTAAAACGGTGACCTAGGTTTGAGTTTACGCGGGCTGGGTGGTCTGCATCCGTGCACGGCTGTTAGGTGCCGAGTGAGGTTGGGACGAGAGTTGAAAACCTGGTGATGACG